CAGTGTCACTGGCCCTCATATGTGGGATCTGAACCGGGGCCCTCTGGCATCCCAAGCCAGCTTTTAACCATCGCACCACTCGGCCGGCCCCCAATAAAGTTTAAAAAAAAATAAAATAAAATAAAAATTTATAAATTAATACAAATTTAGAAAATACAAAATGTCCCTGCCATTTGTATATTGAAAAAATTTGCTTTTCAACAGATCTTTGATTAAAGAGAAATTCAGAATAAAATGTCTACCTGAAAAATAAAAGAAAATCATTGTCTATTAAAACTTATGGGATACAGTTAAAATAGTCCTTGGAAGAAAATTTATAACTCTAAGTATGCTTAATAAATAATACAATAAAAATACATCAATTAAATATTCAACATGGAAAATTTAAGAACAATAAAATTTACTGTGCAAAAGAAAAGAATTTATAAGAATTGACAGAAGATACCTGAAAAACAGAAAAACTATAGAAATAATAAATATCAAATGTTTTTGAAAATAAATGAAAAAATAGTAACAGTGTAGTAACAATACTGTTACAATGTAAAAAATTTCAAAATTTTGAAGGAAATTATTTTGCTTAGAATTCTATATCCAAAAAATTAAACGTAAGGACAGAAGGAAGTTTTTAACATGCAAGCTGTTGAATATTTTCTTCCAATACTCCGCTTCGCCTAGGAAGCTCCTGTAGGGCCCAGTGTATATGAGAGGAAACCAAGAAAAAGAGACATGGGACACTGGAAACAGGAGATGGAACACAAGAAAATAGGCAAAGAAAATTGCCAGGATCTTGATAAAGAGAAAGAACCACAGGATAAGAACTTACACAAAGCATAGGAGACAATTAGCACAGATTGGAACATGTACCTCAAATGACGCATGTGTTGAGTCTATCACAACCAAGAATCCTTTCACCTTTGTCTTGTATTGTCAGCCAGATAGTGCTCGAATGAGCCTGGCCAAGGTTCTTAGTTCTTTTTGGCTTTTGCTAGTGCTGACAAAATTCTGCTCTCCCGTCCCTGCCCAGCTTGCCTGGAATAGCTGACACCATCTGGCTCTACCTGTAGCAACGTTCAGGTGTGACCGACTCCTGAGAGATGGAATTTGGCCACAGCAAGCTGAGAAGCATAAAATGGCAGCACAACTCACCGCATGTTTTCCTCCCCACTGGTTCGACTTTGACCCCACCAGATTCCTCCATGTAGAAAACTCTCTGCTTCCCGTGAATCACTGCAGGCTTGCCTCCTGACATCTTCAGAATGGTTCTTAAACCCCCAAGAAAAGCTGAAGCCAGTGTGTAAACCAGAGACTCTGTTCAGCTTATCTTCTAGGTACCTTCAATTCTCAACAATGCTGCCTTTTTCTTACACAGCTAGTCTTGTGCTTGCTACTCGGTTTTCATATTAATCATATTTCTCACTGATTAAGAAATGTAAATAGTTGTTGATAAAATAATAAAACAGTTGAGAAGTAAATCAAAATTAGAATACATTTTGATCTAAAAAGCCATCTTTAATGGGCAAAACTACAAGCATCCCATTAATGTTCCACACTAACATGACTATTATTTAATAATGTTAGAGCTACTATCCAATGTAGACAAAAGAAAGGAATAAAAATATTAAAAAAGTGGCAAAGAGGAGGTAAATTTAACACTATGTTAGGTGATTACAATATTTTAGGTGATATGCCTGGTTTCCAGGAGAATCAACTGAATGATAATTACAATCAATGAAATAACTCAGTCATGTGTTTTTTGTAGGAAATCCAAAGCTTTCATATTCTGACATAGAAATGTTCCAAAGCTGTTGTCCAGTGGAAAAAAAAATCAATAAATAAAATGCAGAATATTGTATATAAGATGCTACTCTTTTATAATAGTGTATATCGTGGTGTGTATGTGTGAAATAATTTGTATTTGCTTGATATGTAAAATAAACACTTGAAGTACAAATGAGAAACTAATAAAATAAAACACACTGAGTTACCCTTTCAAGGTACAGAGGATTTAAACCCCTAATTTTTATAAACCCGAATACCCTAGATTTATAATTTTCTAACCTGTTTAAAATTTTCCGAGAGTGTTTTAAAGTAAGAGTTGAATCCATTGGTTTTTAAAAGGAAGTCAAGGACATCTATAGCAAACACATTTAACAAAAATTTTAGAAAAGCAATCAATAGCTTAAAAATACATGGATCTGGTAAAAAAGAATTCAGCTTGAGATATGAGGCCCTTATATATCTGCAAAAAGGTAGCACTTCTCTTTCATAGATATATATGTAAATAGGCCCTTTTGGCAACTTTTCTCAGTAGGCTTAAGATTTCCCACTCTTGTGGTTTCCTTGCTCCTTTCTCATAATTCATGGCCTCATCTAGTAGCACCTAATTCCTCAGTCTTTTGCATTCATTCCCTTTCCAGCTTAAAGACCCACTCAATTTAAGGCCTCTTTCCTTCCCTCTCTACAGTTGAACGCATCTGTTTGCTCTATCTCCACTATCTCTCCAAAGCAACACACTGCCTGGAATTAAAGACCTCACCTCTCCCTGATCCCTTGTTCATACTCAGCCCAACTGAACAACTTATTGTACCATGAATTAAACCAGTACTTTTGCCCCAGCTCTGATATTCTCGGCAATGCCCCCCCACCCGTTTTCCCCCAAATTTCTTCCAGACCCCATCACAAGCACCCTTCAATTAATACCCAGTTACCTACCTCTTCACTGACAGTTTTCTAATCCTATCCTACCCCTTTTGAGATAAGCTCTCTCCTTCCTTAAACATTTCTCCTCTCAATACTTTCAAAAATAACAAACTTGGCACCCTTTAGGAGACAGTGCAGGCACTTTTTAGTTTTGTGGAAGAGGCTGAAGCTGAGTGACTGACAGGAAAGATTGAGAGACAAAACAGTACACTATGAAAGCAGGTGTTGTCTTGTGAGAGACCTGAGAGAGGCTTTCTTCTTACTAGTAAGAAATTCTGACATAATGTCTATCATATTTAGACTGAATTCCGCTTGAGCTTGACTTTTGTCCACTAACATACTCTTTATGCCTTTCTTCTTCCCAGGATGTGACAGCCCCTCACAAGCCTGTTTCTCTCCATCCTTTATATCAGACTAAACTCTATCCTCCTGCTAAGTCCCTGCTGCATCCACAGACCCTCTCACAGACCGACTGTCTTACCCCTGGACCCTTCACTCATTTGTCCTCCTTCTCACTGACTGATGAACAGGAGAATTCTCACACCCTGTTTAGTCACAACGCGTATAATAAGGTGAGAATTCCCTGCTGAAGTGGGAATTATTCTGTGCTATGAATTATTCTTTATGCTTAATTTTTAAAACGTAAATGTGGAGGAGACATATATTAAGAATATTTCACTATCTTAAGAATATTAAATATTTGTGTTAAGGCACATGACTTTACAAAAATAATAATTAACCTTGAGAAATTATTTACGTATTTATTTTTCCTTTCAGAGTCATTCTCTGATTTGCACTCCTCATTGTTTCATGTTCTAGTCCAAGGGTGGAAATCCCAAGAAATTTCTTAAAATCTTACAAGATGCCATTATTAATTTACCTTCTAGTCTTAATGTTCTTAAAAAAGCTTCTTTAAATTACACCTTGAGGAGGGTGCTCTTATAACTGCAGTCAATAGGAAAAGAAATACTTAGAATTTTGGAAAATATCTGTAAAATACTATTAACATTTTATTTTAAAATGTGTCCATATGCCTCATAATATACAGTGATGGGATATATAAAAATAATGTGTTCAGTACCAAAAATATGCATATATGATAAATAAAAAAAGCAAAAATATTTATAGTTGGCTTTGGAACGCAGTCATAAATGTTCGGTTAGGAGCAAGTAGTCAGTACCACACAAGGCTTCCATATAAGTGCCCTTTCCTCTTCTGGACATCACAATAAGGACATCCTGTCTAGTGCAGACTCTTAGACCCTGAAAATTTCCTAAAAGAATTGACTTATCAAAATCAACCCGCAATTAAATCTTTCATAAAAAAAAACAACTTCAAAATCTTGTTTAGAAGCATTTATTTTGCAAATTGTCTATGTCTTCATGGATATACTTGAAAATCAATCAAGGCCATATGTTCCAGGATATAGTTGCACAACATTCCTTTGGCCTTGAAACATTTTTTTGAAAAAATGTTCATAAGCCCAGTCTAACCACCAACAATTATCTAAAAAGTAAACACAATAATATGAGGAAAAATTTGCTATTTATATTTAATAGCATCTATCACAACTGAATGATCAACCCTGAATTAAACTTTTAAAATAGCCATTTTCTGCAAACAAAATGTTTTTGGACAAAGTTCAGGATGACATTTTTATGGCCCTTGTTTGTTTCCTACTCTTGGTCTAGAAAAAGTATTTCAGGGAAAGTATATTATTTTTAATGATTTGATATTATTTGAAATTCTTCCTGATTTAATGATTGTCAACATTTATGAAACACATCTAGCTATTAAAGTTAATAATTCTGATAATAACATACCATTTTCTTATAAATTGTCATTTATGATTAATTATAATTGTATTTTTATAGGTAATGATTGCATTAAATGCCTCATTCTTTTCATATTTTGGTGGTGTTTTCTGGAACTATTCAGCAAGGATAAAGTCAGTATTTTATCTATATTTTAGCCTGTATTTGATCAGACTGTGAAAAACAATATATAAAAGCCATTTGAGGTTGGACAATTATTTTCAGTCTACACAATCTTCATAATAGATTTTTGTCTTTCAGAGTCTGAGATTTATTGATATTGAATGAAGAAACATTCACATCTGAAATAGTAATGCAAGACAGTATTTCTAGATGGAAGATTGAATTTCTTAGCCTTATGTACTTCAATTGTTTCTATTAAAATGTATAGATTACCTAATTTGATAACTATGTTCACAAACCTTGTGTTATAAACATTGGACCAATAGCATATTATGTTATCAAGGTTTATCTTTTTTACTTGAAATAGCTTCTTGCCTGGCATTGTAAAACATAATCTGCCATCTAAATGAACATCTCTCTAATACCCTAATGTTACCCAGGCCTGCTTTTACAGCTGTACCTGTTAGGCTCATCTGCAAACACAAATCTTCTCACTATTCCCTCAGGAGAGCCACACTGAACTTGACTTAACTATTGATATAATTGATGATTCCTCATCAACTGGGGCCACAGAAGGTGTTGAACAGATTTTATTCTCCTGTTGAATCTGTAGTGTGCACTCCTCTCTTCTAAACCTTCATCAGACTCTGAGGGTCCTAAATCCTTACCCTAACCCTTACCCTCTTCTCTTACTGTCAAGACAGAACTCTGTCATAAGATGTCATATCATATATGATGATTCTCAGATACTTACTTTCCTTTTCATCTTAGAATTAACCAGTATATCCTTTCTTTACCCTAGTCTCATAAGAGGAGTCATTACTCTTTAATCCTTAAAAGTAATATAGCCCAGTGGATAAGAGCATGATGTCTGTGGTCAGTTTGTCTGAGTTCAGTTTTTGACCTCATTCCTTTCAGATGGTGATATTGGGTAAGTCATTTAACCTCCGCATACCTCTATTTATTGATCTACAAAATGAAGATGATAATAGTATCTACCTTATTAGAATATTATGAAATTAATATGTGCTAATAGGTGCAAAGCACTTTGAATAATGCCTGAAAGATAACAAGAACCACATAGAAGTTAGGTCTTATTACTATAGCAATAAGGCTTCCTGGAGAGTCACTCCCATCACTTTCTTGAATCTTCAGTTGGTATTTTCTCATTGGACAACTCCTTTTTGTGTGCAGAAACCTCAAAAAAGAAAACAAAAGGAAATATTGCCCCATCCTTTTCCTTGATGATGCTGCAAACCTAGTAATTTCAAGTCTTTTGCTCAAAGTGATCAATAGCCATTATCTCCTTTTCCTTTCTATACACTCTTTAACCCATTCTTGAAAGTCTTCTTTCTCTTACCTGAACCACTCTACAAAAATTGCTGTCTCAAGGGTAAACTGCTTGTCAGCAAGCTCAGCTGAATTTCCTCAGTCCTCTATCTCTTTTATCCCTAGTAGCAGTTGGCATGGTTGATCATAAACACTTGAATCTCTTCGCTCTGCTTTTGGGATAATATGTGCATTCCAGACTCCCTGACTGCGCCTTTGTTTTCTTTGTGGACATGTTTCCTCATCTACCTCTTCTCTCTACATGCCTCAATTCAGTTATTCACCCGCTCACTGGCTTCGGTGATCACCATTTGTACTCATAATTCTCAGATCCCCATTTCCAATTCTTCTCTGAGATCCAGTTTTATAGCTTCACCTGCTTGCTTGTCAGTTCTCCTAGGATGTGATGTTGTCACCTCAAATGCATCATTCATTTCGCTTCAAACTAGTTCTGTTCTGGTTTCTCTACTTCTGTCATCAGCGCCACAATTCTCAGTCTCCTAACTCAAAACCTGATATATCTATTATACTTTTTCTGCTTTGTCCTTGCAGCAAGTCCTTCACCAGCTTGAATCGACTCTTGTTCTGTTATGTCTGTCATGTTTTATTCTCTCACTACTTTTTATGATCATTTTACTTTACTTAAACCGATCTAGTTATTTCCCTGCAGGCATGCCTTAGGGATTTCTCACTGTTCAGCCTGCTCATGCATTCTCCCCATATAAAGTAACTTCATGCTTTTTCTTCTTACTATGCAAACCATTCTCATACTTTATGACATAGTCAAATTATCCCTCCTCTTGAAGGTTCCCATGCATCAAAAGTCAAAGTGGTATTTTCCTCCTTTCAATTTTTATAATCCTTGCCTGTGCCAAGGTATTTCATGCATATTATATAGGCTGTCTCATGTTTAGCTGTGATTGTCTTAGTGTCCACCTAGGATGTGATATGCTTAATATGGTATTTTTCACATTATAGACATAGCAATAAATATGTGTTAATGATCATCAAACCCTAAAATGACCCAAGCTTCTTCAGTAAAAGCCCAAGATGCTTGAATATTTACGATTATTTCTATTTTAAGCAGAAACTAAATCTGAGCCGATTTGTGGGTTTATCTGTACATTTGGTACAATTTCAGTCAATTGAGAATCTCCCTCTTTGGAAGGCTGCATCCAATTTCCATGAACTTATGGAGTGCTTTGCATGAGAGCATAGGTGGGGTGGGAATGTGAAGACAGGAGAATCTGATCTTTTTTTGCTGTATGTGGATTCTGGTAACCTCTGGGGTGCCCTCAGAACTGTCTGGTATATAACCATCAACCGTATGATGCATTGCTGCATCCTTCTTTCTTCACCTGCATGGCATGTCCTTGTTGGCTCTAGGTTAACTACATCTGAGCCCCTATAGCACACATGAGAAAACATTATTACTTGCATACTGGGGGCAGGTAAACTTTGTGAGGCTGTCTCAGAACCACCAGCTTGGATACCCTACCTATTCTTCTCTACTCTGCTGTCCCTACCATAGGGAGCCCCACATGAGTTCATTTGTGGATTTGCCTACCCGCTACATTTATTTGTGACCCCCAAATCAGTACTCGCTACACTTTTATGGTCATTTGTGGGCATGTGAAGAACAGTGAAAAATTTGAATGGTCTGTGCACAGGGTCCCAGTTGAGGTTGAGCAAGGTGATTCTCTGCTTTCTTGTTTCAGCGCTAATGCTATAAACAAGTGTCCTTTTCACGGTCTGTCTAGTACTATGTGTTTTGAAATTTTGTGCTTGTTGGTGATATGATGTTTAAAATATTGACTAAGCATAGTACTGAAGTGCTGTCTAGTATTTTCTAAGTGCAAGAAAGCTGTGATGTAACTTACAGAGGAAATATGCATGTCTGGTAAACTTTACGCATGAGTTATGGTGTTATTGGCTATGAGTTCAGTGTGGATGAGTCAACAATATATATAAAATAAGGTGTCTTTAAAAGAAACACATGAAACAAAGTTATATATGATTGATTGGTGAAAATGTGATCAGACTTGTAGGAACATAATCGGTATTTCCTCTTGGAGAATTAAATCAGTATTTTCTAATTCTGTGTTTGCAGTGACTTTGTAGACCATAACTACTGTGAATAATAACCATTGCATCTTTGTTTGGGATTCTCTGGGAAGAGGATTCATACATTAGTAGTTAATTTGGGATGTGGTTCCAGGAAATACCAGTTAGGGGAGTGGGAAACAGGAATAAAGAAAAGACATCTAATACAGGGTGTGTTATTAATCAAATTAACAATTGTGGGT